AAAAAACAATTGCTGCATTTGAATAAAAATAAATTTTGTGGTTATAACAGAACACTACGTAACATGAAGCTACGACATAGAAAGGTCAAATGAATTTAGTGATTCATGTACACAGCATTTAAAACAAGAATCAACAAAACATTTATACTAAATACAATATGAAAAATATTCAATCATATATTGGTTATCTTATGTATAGTTTTAGAGCGCACTTAGCAAATCGTGTCCTCTTTGGGAACCGCTGCCTCAGCTGCTTGTACCAGGTCATATTCCTAATGTTTACAAAAATATTTTTCAACATAAAAGACATTCTTAATTTTCAGGTTCTCCACTGTCTACTCACTAGATTCATAACCCGTAATGCCAATGTATTAAGGCCAATGAACAAACCCAGTGGCAAGTTTTAGTCAAAACTAAAATTCAAAACTTCCATTCTGAACCCAACTGTCAACAAGCTCAATACATACTGAAATAGAAAGAAAGATATTTGGGGGCTCCCGAAATATGCAAACCAAGATGGCGGACATCGGAATGTAATATGTGTACTAGGTTAGGGTTAGGCCATAATTTTAGGTATAACTACTAAGGGAGGCTCTTGGCTGGTCTTCGAACTGATAATATTACTAAAATAAGGAAAATTGGAAAAAAATTATCGCCTAACCCTAACCTGTTACCCATGTTACGTTCCGATGTCCGCCATCGTGGTTCGCACACTTCGGGAGCACCGATATTTGTTCTTTCAAAAATACAGTAGCCTCATACATATTATTGTTTCACACCAAACAAAATTTATTTAGCTCCAATGAACAAACCACATCCAATCATACCTAGAGACTGCTTGCCTAATGCCTCAGTCAAAATACAAATTCAAAATTATACATTGGTAACTCTAAACTCAATGTTATTCAAAACATACTCTAAACAAATTAGCTACATGCGGCCTCCTCCCACATTTCCTGCTAAAGGAAATTGTTGAATATTAACAATAATCAGGTAATTAAAATAAACAAACTAACTCCCGATTTAATAAAATTCAAATTATTTCCGTTTCCTAACTATGCGAATGAATTTTATTAATCCAAAAATGATCAAGTTAGCGCCATAGATAATGCCAATTATACTGAGTATAATCTCAGTTTTACACATGGCCAAGTAACGCCAAAAGATACCAAGTGTTTAATGAGGTTTTTTTCAAACTCTATTTAATGTAATTTATTAATATTCATATCTCCATGCATGACCATGTATGACTCGAATATACCAAGTTAGAAGAGTAATGAATATAATAAGAGACGTTTATAAATCAATGCAAGACCACGTGGGACCAACTTATCCAGCCAATGTTGAATTACTGATTTTTTGGAGCATGATTATGACCGAAAATGTTGCCAGAATTGAACATCTATAATTGATTCACCATAAAAAAATACTTGTGATGCACAGATACCATTCTCTAATTATATGCTCTTGTCACTTCTAAGTGAGTGCCCGTAACTTTGCTCAAAGATGAGTCTCCTTTACTTCTGAGCGAGTGCCTGTAACTTTGCTCAGAGATGAGTCTCCTTTAATTCTGAGTGAGTGCATGTAACTTTGCTCAAAGATGAGTCTCCTTTAATTCTGAGTGAGTGCCTGTAACTTTGCTCAGAGATGAGTCTCCTTTAATTCTGAGTGAGTGCCTGTAACTTTGCTCAAAGATGAGTCTCCTTTACTTCTGAGTGAGTGCCTGTAACTTTGCTCAGAGATGAGTCTTCTTTACTTCTGAGCGAGTGCACGTAACTTTGCTTGGGGTTGAGTGTCCTTTACTTCTGAGTGAGTGCCGGATAGCCAAGGCCAAAGGATGAGTGCAAGGATGTCCAAAGTCGAAAATTTCATTATTTCGAATAAATGGTGAAAAAATATTTTCGAAAATGAAATATCGCATACATTCTAAATTGGGGGCAAGTAGATGTAGAGAATCACTCAAATCACTATATTATGTTGATTGCATCTGAAATGACATAAATATAAAGAACTTTGGTTTCTCTGTGTTGTTTGTTATCAGTTGAGATATCGTATGTTTTGATCTGCTTTTCTGGCGGCTCAAAATCTCCGATTTACATATACAGATATTCCAAATTTTTCCTAGATCCAATTTTTTTTTATGTGGAATATAATGAAATTCAATTGTATTTAAATATCCAATTTGTTCTGGCCATCCCTGGGACAGGTCAAATATATCTCGGATAAAGCACATGAGAATTGGGGCTGTGCCAAAGCAGTCCTTGCAAAAATTATAGCAAAGCAGCAGTTGCTGTTCAAAGTTGAGGTTTTGAAAAAAGATAAATTGTGACACGCATGAACAAACAGACAAACGTACAAAATGAAACCCCCAAACTATTATCAAATGATCAATAATTTTAACCAAATTCAAATTTTTACTGAAATCATGCTTTCGGGTATTTTGCATTCAGTAATGACTTGGACAAAATTGTACGCAAATTTAATAAAATCAATTAAAGATACATCAAGAGAGCAGACATGATAATGACTGATGCTGGTAAAGAATCAAAATATCCAAATATTTTAAAATTAAAATTGGCCGTGATTTGTGTCACGCTTTCACTCCAAATAAGGCTCAAGGCAAGCAGATTATACGGTGTGTGTGTATACAATTAATCAGAATGAATATTTTACAATTAATAATTGTGAGACAAACCATAATACTTTATGATAGCCTTTTATTTAATATTTAATAGTGAATATTCAGAGTCCCCCAAATTGTTTCGTTTCTAACTTGAAACAACGCAATGGGCACAAAGAATATGTAGGTATATATATGATTAGGCTACGGTCTTTAAAAAAATAAAAACTTCCTGTATTCAGCTCGGTCAATATAAACAAAATAGGCTCTTTATATAAATTTATGATTAAAATTTTTGTGTGTCCTGTTTCTGCTCTAAAGTTGGCTCCAGGCAAAGCACAACTTACTTATACTCAATTTGGGAGGTTTTTTTATGAAGTTGAGCAGTGTGGCATCGATTATATAGAATCCATCACATTTCTACAACTCTACCAGAGCGGTAGTGATTACAAAAAGTATTACACATTATTTGTTCATAACCATACTCTATAAAAGGGTTTAGACAAGACTATATTGGTAATTAATATTTCTTAATTAACATTGCAGCAACGCAGCATTAATATTCTTCACTACTCTGAACAAGTCTATGAGATATGTGAGATTAAAATATGTACGGTAAATAGTTTGCAATTGATGTAGGCAGACATGATAATGACTTTATCTGATGAAAATTAAAATTAAACAAATATTTTATAATGGAAATAGGCCAGCTATTTGCATCACGCTTGCAATTTAAATAAGGCTTCACCTTTTTTCATGTGTGGCCCATTCACCTTGCTCAAAACTTTGGTGACACATTAATTTTTCATGCAAGGCAAAAACTTTTTCGCAAAAATAAATGCTTTCACTTCAATAATAAGAATGAAAAGCAGCAGCATAATTCATTGATGCTACAATTGAAATGCAACTATAGTGACACAAATGAATCTAAAATTTTCAATAACCATAGCCATTTTAAATAGGTTTGTGGCTCACCTAAAAATGTGTCTATAGCTCACTGGTTAAAAACCGGTGTTTAGGCTAAACTGATACAAAAAACTAAAATATTTTATAAATAAAATTGGCATATAAAGTATCATATATTTAGTTCATCTCTTGGAAAAATATAGAATTAAATATTAACTGGTTTTCATGTTCGACAAATCACCCAAAAAATGCCCAAGACAAGCAGAATAGGCCTACATGTTGGACTATATCGTAGGTTTCAAGATTAAATGGCAAAATTTTAAATTCCGAAAAATTAGAAAATATTACATAGGAATAGGTGCTCTTTAAGCTGGTATATAATCATAGTTTGAAGCAATATTCACCCAAGTATTTTGATGAAAAGCCCAAAGCAGAGATTTGCCATTTTGAGTTAAAGCCCTTGTATTATTTTAAGTAGACTATAATATTTCTAATACAATAGAATAACATAATACTGATTGCTGTGTCTTGTGTAGTTTCGTACCTACATACTTCTAGTGGGCGTAGCATAAAAATTTTTTGACATGTCAATCCTAACCCCCACATGACTACGCCATCCAAAAATTATGTCATTACGACGTCACAATCACGTCATAGATCTTGCCAAATACGTGTTCGATCGCCCGAAATGGCATCGGCGTCGACGACAAAGAACTGACTAACGTCAGCGATCTCTCTCCTATTGGGATCGTTGCGACGAAAAAACGAGAGAAATAACTGTTTGATTTCGGGTTCTCTTCTGCCATCTTGGGTGACAGTTCGTATAGTTTGGAGGGCTCTATTACGTCACTGTGACGTCGTGATGACGTAATTTTTGGACAGCAGAGTCAGGTGGGGGTTAGGATTGACATTGCAAAAATTGTTATGCTACGCCACTAGAAGTACGTTAGGTACGAAACTACATGAGGCCCCTGATTGCTGCGTTAGACATAGCATTTAGCACGTCCTGCCGGAGGTTTACCAAAGGAAAAAAATTTTCACTGTGGCATTCGTTTTTAGAAAAAAACTTCAATTTTGGTCATGTGATGGCCATGATCAATTTAGATTATTATTGAGACAAGCATGGCGCAATATGACTGATCTGACAGTCTGCCGTCGTGCCAGACGCTCCTAGTTTATGAGACACATGAAGTGTGTTTTATTAAACCATATGGAGGAAAATTCTTGGAATTGGGATAGTGTGCCGTACTGGATTGTTTTGATAAACAGATATGAACATGTTAATTTATATTTTTCTGACTCTGTCACAGTACAGTAGTACAAAATAACACACTGCAGCACTGCCAAAAAAAAAACACACCTGCACTTTTCACACAAGACAAAAACCCCGGAAATAGCATAAAAGCTATTATAAATTCCCAAATCAGTCAATTTCATAAAAGAATTCACCAAGAAACAAAAAAACATTCCTCACCTTGTTATCAACTTCTTGCACTTCAATAAATCTTTGCTGAAAGGGAACGTTGCTTGAATTCATCGCCGTGACATTCCGCTCATCACGGCGTTCTTCACCATCAGACGACTAGGTGAAAGCCTTTCGAGTTGAGATGTTAAACAATTCGATGTAATAGTAATATCGAAATTCTATAAATAGTCCGTTTTGATAGAAATGCGCCAGAAACTGTCGGAACTGTGAAAAATTTTTGATCTTGAAGAAAAATCGTTCAAACTGCCAGTTCGTTCCCCAGAAACAAAGTTTGTTGTGAAAAACAGGGTTGCCAGGTTTTACAGGGACAGGAACAGAAAAATTTTCTCCGCGTTCGATAGTGAAGCTATACAGCAGCGCCAAGCGTGAATCGTGCAAATTTTTTCTAATTGTCGATTATTTTTTTTAACTGTAATTTTTTTTTTATATTTGGTCATGTCGCTTGTTCGATTTTTGATTTTCGATGAAAATGAATCTCTCTCGCTCTCTCGGTATTCAAAATTACAAGATGAAATAGTTATCCAAAACTCATTATCAGTACTTCGCTTACAATCAAGGATAGAATTTTCCTATTAATCCCGGGGGCCGATAAGACGTTTTAGCCATATGAAGCACCACGGCCTCTGTGAGATGGTGTCGAAAGCCGTAACCGACTAGGGGTTACCCGAACCACCCTCCGGTGGCGAGGGGCCTAGCAATCCTCTTGCACTGACATGGATTAACAATGGCCCGCGGGAAAATCCGGCCTGTTAAATAATTCAATCTGGCCCGCCTGATGCTGCCACGACCAAACTAAATCCAAATTTTGATGTTTTGACTAGCGCAAAGAATTGGTTGAAATTGCGATTTTTGGTCCCTGGTTCAAAAACCTTGCCCACCCCTGCTCATAATTATCCCACGCGGGATTTGAACCTGCGAACCCACACAGGGTAATCGGAGGTGCAGTGGCAAGCGTATTTCTAACGCCCAGCACGATGTGCCACACCGCCGGGCGGTTGGAAGTTGAAACAGTGCCAGAGGCGTAGCCAGAATATTTTGCGCCCGGGGCAAACTATAAAATTGGCGTCCCGACCTCCACGTCCACATCACAGTGCGCAGGCAAGAACTTAACAATACAGAACCACGTAATTAACCCTGTGCATTTTGTTACCTAACGTCACGAAATCAACTTTTGCTTTGTTTTCTGGCCAGCTTTTTGGCCGTGTAATTACGATGGAAATCTGACCGTGCGTGAGCTATGTGCCTAATGACGTCGACAGTCGACGTAAGTGGTCTGACCAAGTGTGCAGTTGGCCATGTACTAATACTAGATGAATTCCGATTCCTGACAGTCAGCTTTGTTCAGAACAAGAGATCACCAAACAGCGAAAAGCCATTTAACACGAAAGTGACGTATAAAATATGTTTTCATTCGGTATTCAGTCTTTTAACGCATCATCTATCAGTTGGTGATTAAAATGACACAGCAAAATTTTGTATGTTATGGTAGCCTACGTGAAGGAATGTGGAAATATAAGGAATAACCTTCCTCCAGTACTGAAAAAATGAAATAATTTGGCAAATTCGATGAAAAACTATATTCTCCCGGACAAACAATCCCTAGATCCCTTTCGTGTCCAATGACAGAACCTCGCCGCCGAATCTGTCGTTCTTTTCATGGGCGATTTTAAAATGGCAATCCCGCTCTTCAATCTAATGGGCTGAAAATATGTAATGTCAGTCGTATTTTGGTTACATGATTACCATGCGTGGAATCCTGCGGGTGATATTTATGTGCAAAAGGATTGCTGGACCAGTCGCTCACGCTACTGCTAGTCGTTTATGAATTCATTCCTCCACTGAGTTCATGATCTAAAAATGAATGACAGTGGTTCCCAACCGCCGGTCCGCGAATTTTTTTTGCCGGTCCGCGAGAGATTTCGTCGTTTTGTTTTTCTGCCGTCTCAATCGATTTACCGATACCGAAAAGTTGCGTTGATTAATTACGCAATTTCTCACCCGACGTCATGTTGCTGTTTGATAAGTGCGGCCCGGCGACATCTCGTCACCGTGTAATCACACTTTTCGCTTTCCCGGTTCCGATTCATCGCGAAAGCGCTCCGCCAAATCTCGCAAAAATCCGAAACCTGAAAATCAGCATGTGTTCTTTTTCCTTTCTGAATGATTTTCGTGATTAATAAGACGAAGTTACGCTGGTTCATTACGCAAATTCACTTCCGCCGTCATATTGCTGTTTGATAAGTTCGGTATTAATGGCCTAGCGACGTCTTGGCGCCGAGTAATCACACTTTCCGGTTACTATTCATCGCGAGAGCGCTCCGTCAAATCTCGCAGGATTCAGAAACCTGAAAATCAGCATGTATGCTTTTCCCATTCTGCATGCTTTTCTTGATTAATATTAACTTCCAAATAAAAGGTTATGAATATTTATTTATTTAAACCCGAAAATTGTCAAGAACAGTTTAATATTCCAGAGCTTCACCTTGGCACCCAGCGAGATATGAACTTGTTGCGACCATGCAGGTGGTCACAAGACGCGCAATAAAAGCACTGGCCACTGAGATCTGTTCCGATTCCGAGTGATTTACAGCAGGATTTTGAGCTTGGTGCAAGTTAGCAACGACTTTATCATTGTAATATAAATTCATTTTGATTGAGGTGTCGATCAACTGAGGAGGAATTGATATGATGAATCCGATTAAAATTCTACTTTACAGTCCAGATTTGTAAAGGAATCACTGTCACAATTCATTCTTGATCTCTCTTGATAATGAATACTCATCGCTAAGTTATCGAGCGATCAAACTGTTGTTCGAATTATCAACCAGTTATTTCTAGCTTTATTTAAAACGAAACAAATAAATCAACTGTGAGCCGCTGCAGAGCTAAGTGTTACAAAACGCTTTTTTGATGCCCCGTTTGCAATCATGTATTGGAAACGAAACAGAAGCAATATTCACACTGGAAATAAATATGTTTGTACATGTTTTTTATGTGAGATGTGTGCTTTTTTTACGCATTATGGGTGCCCAGCACTGCATTTTATTACGCAAATATATGGTAATATTTTATGATCCACCCATTTCAATTTTTGGTCGGCACATTATTTGATAGTTTTTTCTCGCGTAAAATGTTTTTAAGTGTGCCTTTTCTTCTAAAAGCATAGTGATTGCTCGACATTACGCAAATATATGTTATTATTTTCTGTTCAACTCATATCAATTTTTGCCGGTCCGCGGGTACATATTATTTAATTTTACCGGTCCGCCAGTGTAGAAAGGTTGGGAACCACTGTGTTGTGCGACCTTCTTTCGCATGAAACGACAACTGTTCGGTACGTACCAGATCGCCTTGACCTACCTATTGCTTATTTTATTAAATAATATATTTAGTTCGACTTTATTTATCATGTTACTGTTTGACTTCCCCAAGGGTGTCGCCGCTCGATAACTAGCTTTGATACTCGACGTCTCCTTTCACTCTGTAATGCGATTTTTTGTTATTGCTTATCGATCTTAAGATCGGTAAGTATGTTGATAGGTATTTGTCTGTCTGTAAGATGCACGCGATATCTCACGGAAGCGAGATTGAATCTGCTCCAGATTTTGCATGTGCATTCATCATAATGTCGTACCAGAAGCCTATTGATTTTGGATGAATTATGTCGTATAATTAGCGAGTTATTAATTAATTACCGCTGGGACACAAGGTGTCACTATGGAGTAAGAGCGCTGTTTTGGGGATCCCCTAACTTTCGATCGATAAGTATAGTTTATACCTTCAGCATGCTGAAGAAATGCTCGATTACTGAACGATTTCTAATCCCATACATCGACATGAACCAATAACCGGACGAAACGCCTTGGCACAGAACTCCCGAAAATAGAGCTGATAACATATCAATGGCGCTTCAACAGTGTCTCGTTATTGTCAAAAAATCCCATCTTTCACTCAAAAGTCTTGTAGTAATCAGATTCATTTCTATATTAAAACAGAATTCAGAAAATAATATTCCCCTTCCTTTTTGAAAAACAAAAAATTATCTTGGAAATATCTGTGGCCGTGGGTAAAAATACCACATTATCTACATACCATGCACGATCTAATGTTATATTCCAAACAAATTATTTACACATTGAAGAGAAAAAAATTAAGTGCGTAAAATAATAAAATATGGATTGGACAATTCTTTTATAAGTGACTATATTCCAGGAAAACTATCCAAAAAATTTTCCATGAAACTCTGGTTTGACATCATTTTCAAGTGAACAAAGTGGCAGCTGTTTCCAGGGTCATTCACCGCAAATAAAGGAGCAGTTGGCCTGGACTTGGAGTATATAACTAACGCAGTTTGGAATGGGGATGCGAAAATCGCTTCCAAGGAATCTAACACAAAAGTGAAAAAAAAATGTTTTGAGACAGTATATATTTTTTTTTCCCAAACTTGTTTACCCTTTTATTTATCGTATTAAAACGGTAATATGAACATTTATCCAAAATTCTCAAATTTACCGGTGTTTCGTTTTGGACTCCTCGACACATTGTATGTGATGTTTAACATATGTGCAAAGGGAGAATTCTAAAATTTCTAATTACCAAATGAGACCTTAACAGCTAACGGGTCCAGCCAGAGCTCATAATACATGGGTTTTTAAGAATCTAAAAGGTCTAAAAATAGTTTCAATATACGAAAACTGGCTATGTGTGATACAGATAAATGCTTTTTTTTGCATTTCAAAAGATATGGGGGCAATCTGCCTTCTTGTAGATATGCTCAAATTGATAACCAATATCTTGACCAACGTTTTGATATCCAGTTTGTTTTGGACTTTTGAGCGCATCATAGGTGATGTTTACTATACGTGCAAGACTCATCCGAGAGAATACACATTAAATACAAATATATAGACTAGTTTAGAGTAACATAATGGCGACAAATATAAGGACATTTATAAGCAAAAATGCTCAACAGAAGGGCCCAGTTCTACAATAAAACGAAAGAGTAAAAGTGGAAGGTTTTAAAGTAACCATATCAAGAGATTTATATAACAGACATGGGCAAACTAAAGCCTGTGGGACAAATCCGGCCCGTCGGGTCATTTAATCTGGCCCGCCTAATGCTGCCACAACCAAACAGGACACCTTTATGGACACCTTTTATCATACCTATCCTTGACAAAGGCCCAAATTAATAGCACTAGATATAATATTTGAAAAAGTTTGCTGAAAACAAAGTTGAAAGAGTTTGACCTCTGATACATTATTAAGATATACCATATTTGCTCGTTTTGTAGCCCGGGCCCATATTTTTTTAACCAACTCACTAACCGGGTCCTTATTCAAGCACGGGCGCTTGTTATTTTTAAAGTAAAATTATACACAAAATATATTGTCATTTCCAGTTCTCAAGTACGATTTGAACGAGAATAACGAAAATTTTGACTTTTGGACGCCTAAGGCGTGAGTGTTATCTACCGGCGCTTAAAATTCAACAGCGTTGTGACGAAAGCGCTTCTCATTTACTATTGTTCTCTACCACTGAGAGATCAGCTTTTACATCGGGCGGGTATTCAAGCACCGGCCCTTATTTATTTTTTATGTTCTGTTCACACGGGCGGGTATTCAAACAGGCCCTTAATCAATATCGGGCGGTAAAACGAGCATATACGGCATATAAGCTTATCGGCGCTCCAGAAGTATGTGTACCAATTTATCTTTGTGGCATTGGTGTCAGTGGCAGGGAGTCGATTTGTCGAAGTTTAGAAAAAATTGGAAAATTACTGATATATTTTCAAGCGACTACACAGATGTTATGAGCTGTTATCTTAGTACAGAGTGACTTGTAAAAGCAACTGGCATACTAAGAACGCTACAACTTATATAGTTTATCCTTGTGGTAGAGGTGCCAGTAGAGAGCAAGTTAGTTTTTTGATAAGGGGAGACTTTGTTTAAGCAAATTTGCTCAAAAAAAGGGCACGAGAACTCAACTAAAACTGAAGAGTACTGATAGAAAGATTTCAAGAAACTACTGACACACTAAAAGAGCTACATAACGTTTATCCTTGCGGGAGAGGTGTCAGTAGAGAGCAGTTTACAGTTTTTCAATAAAGGGAGTTTAACTCGCCATCCAACTTTCTAATTCTCTTAGTTCATCATCTTCGTTCTTTTCTTTCTTGGCGGGAACGGCGGGGAGCGACGAAGTCGGGACTTCAGGAAGGTCACTAGGTGTCCCTACCGCGAGTAATTCCTTGTCGAGATCTTCCTGTTCTAACTCTTCGAGTTCCGCTAGAAGTTCATCTTCGTCAACATCCGTTCCAAATCCAACCTGGAAAAATTAGAGATTTTGTTTTAATTTTCTATTCAATTGAGTTTGAAAAATACTCATTAAAGAGGCTCATATTTTTGCGAAGGTACACGCTCAAATGTAAAAAAGACTCAGTTTTGAGTGAAATTACATCGCTCATCACTCAGAAATAACAGGGACTAATCTCTAAAAAAAAATTGATTTATCCTATATTTTCTATTCAGGAGAATTTGAAAATGACTCATTGAAGAGAGTCAAGAGACTCATATTTTTACAAAGGTAGAGAAGATCCAGTTTTGGGGGCTCCAGAAGTATGTGTACCAATATGGAGATAGCTGAACTCTTGTGGCCCCCGAGTATACAGTAAACTCACCGGTCATGAGAGGGTTTGACATTAAATATCAGTGGCTCCTAGTAGAGATGCTCAATTGGAGTGAAAAAAGCGCTTGACGGTGTCGTTGACACGATGACTCAGGTAGTCTTTCGCGCGCCAAATCAATTACAGAAATATTGTATGTCTCTTTATTTCAATTGACTTTCTGTTACCATTTTTTTATTACTTGTGTTGGTACAGTATTTCATGCACAATGGAAATAAAATATCTGGATCTGACTCACCAGTCCTGAGAGGGCGTCACTTACGGTTGTGTGTCACAGTCTTTAACCAAAAACATTATAAGGGTGAACATACATCAAATTTACTGCAACTAAACATTGCAGAAAGCTACTGGCGATCAATTGTACACCAACAAATGGCTTGGCAATGCTGGATTGGAAGGATTCCAACCTTTCTACTAAATTTTGTGAAACAGCAATCTAGCATCGTATAAAAAGATTTAAACTCACCGGCCCTGAGAGGGCGTCACTAATCTCTTGTGCGACCTCTTGCTGTTCAGCGATGTCATCCATAACATCATGAACATCGTCCGCTGACATGTTGCCATGTGCTTGCTTCAGTGCCTTTGCTCCTAGTTGCATATTTTTGAATGTTTGGGCGTTCGCTTCGGCCTCTTGTAACGCCTCGACTTGGAACTCAATGTTTGATAATGTACCGTCCACTTGATTTAACTGCTTTTCATATCTGAAAAAAGAAAGAAATTTTCATTTATGTATAGTATTACTTCTAATCTTTACTTATTTAATATCATTGTAATATACAGGGTGTCCAAAAACTGTTGCCTGATTCAATGGGAATAATAATTAACATTGCTTTGTCTTTTATTAATGCGGTAGTTCTTGAGCTTGTAGTTCCCATTCATCATACAATAAAATTTATTTAAACTTACAAACAGGCGAAATTTTTTGGAAGCTCCCATATATTTACGCACACATTATAAAATATCCAAACTGCACAAAATCAAGACCTTTTAAAAACTCAACAACAAACAGAAACATGTTTTTGCCCGCAGTAACAAGGAATGAAGAGTTTCAAAACAATAGAGGGAACAAAGATTGGAAATGGTTGGAACCACTGACATATGGCGAACGAGAATGGCATTATAATCTCTTTCCACAAATGAGATTGACATATTTATCCCAAGGAGAGAACATCGATAAGACGGCTTAATCATATGACGCACCACGGCTTCTTGTCCGGTTACAATTCCATTCGGGTATAGGATTATTTAGCCAGTTATTTGTTTTCAGCAGCATGGACTTGGTGGTGGAGGCCGTAACCGACCAGTGGATACGTGAACGAGAAGTCCTGCAAACCTCTCGCATATAATTAATGCCAAATATGATTCAAACCTGCGAACCCACGCATAGTATTAGGAATTGGGGTGGCGAGAGTATTCTTAACGCATGATGCGGCACACCATCGAGCAGAGAAATAATTACGCTGTTGTTCAAAATATATCTTGTTTTGTCTGAAGAAGTTAGACTATGATCTAACAATAAATAGCGCACAACTATATTTGCTATTCCATGGAAAAAGATTATGTTATTCTTATTTATCTTTAGTTTATAATACTATCTCGTGCAAGCATCCTTGTGGCAACTGACACATAGAGATTCGAAGTAGAAACTAAACAAGGAGAAAAAATCTGCAGTTCAGTACGCAACACCCTAGTATGTATGTATGTTTATTCGTCTCAAAAAATCAATATGGGAGTTAGCGATTATCAATACTGAAGAACCCCCCTCTGATATCAAGAAAGTTTAAAAAACACGAACCTTTTCTTTCGTTTTAAAGCCGTCAAAGCAAGTCTTTTATTTTTCGTTCCATGTCTCCTCGCTGTTTTCAATTCCTCTTCCATTTTCTTTTCTAAATACTCCGATTTCTTTTCCAGCATTTCCTGAGTTTCTTTCAGCCTTTGTATTGCTTCGGCTTTCGACGGTTGCTTTGCTTTTCCGCCACCAAATAACTTCGCAAATCCACTCATTTTTAAAATAATTATATTTAATTATTCTGATAAATAGACATTGGCAAAACTGTGTTATTAAGGTCATGGTCGCATTACTCCCAAGCAATTTCGGGAAATGACCCATGGACTAAGAATGCAATGTTCCTGTGGGGTGCGATAATGCGAGTCTTCTGCTCTGAGACACTGTAAACAGTCATATATCACTGGTACTCTAATTCAATTTTGGTATTGTATTAGATTTGTGATAAGAATGGAAAGTATTTCATCTTTTCGTTATTTACATATGTGAATATTGTTAAGTTTTAAAGCCATGGTTTTAAAGAACTGTAAAATTGAAAGAAGGTTTGGAACCACTGCCAGACACTGGGTAGATTAGATTCATCAGAGTCAAGTCCAAGCTAATTCTGTAATTTCGGGATCTTCAGGATTTCAGGACGTTACGGTCAAAAAGAAATATGTGGACATTGAATTACAGTAGGGCACAGTTCCCTGATGTCTCAATATTCCAGTATTCTGTTCAATAAAACAAACACTTCATTTGTCGCAGAAATGAGGGTGTCTGACACGAAGGCGAACGCATAAGATCAGGCTATGTTTGTTTTAATAATAACATCCATCGGTTGTGATGTGTGTCAGCCATCACTTGACCAAAATTCTCTCCCGATTTTCCTTTCTGATAAAAACTCAGCGGTTTTATTTTTTTACTCCTGTAAATGGATTATTTTTTTCCGAGAAATCCAACGACGATGGTTTTAAATTATGCTTCCATTTAGTTTATTGCGCAGTACTAGCGATATGTCAGTATGTTGACGCCAGGCTGTATCGTAAAGGAGTGGTTTGCATTCACAGCTATATTTGATGTCTTTAAGTACGGGGATTACTCTTGAAATCGGTAAAACTGTGTGTACTTCAGTTTTATCTATCTTTTTACCATATCATATGTTACATACAGTCTGTAACATAATCTAACAACAAACTGTAATAATCGTTTGTAATACTTTAGGGACCAAAAATTTTACCTCTTCTTTCAGTGCAGCAGTACGGTTCCGGCAATTAAAAAACCCGATACTGCGATACCTAACTGCAGAAGTCAATATTTAAGATTGAAAAAAACCTTATTTATAACCTTGGTAATCAACATATTCCTATTCCCTAACTTATTTAATTATAATTACTTATACTGTTACTTGTACCTTTAAATACTCATTACAATCTGGACTATATTTTGGCAATAATAGGCTCTAGTTTGGGGAATGAAGTGGTCTAGCCCACCTCTTCATGCACCCAATTCTGGCAACTTTGGTTGGGCCTTTTTGGCAATTGACTCCAACTATAATCAGCTTGGCAATATATTTTTCATAAAAGTTTATCTCTACTGTTCACTCCCATTTATAAAATCTATTAATTCGGCAGTGGCAAACGTTATAAATTCATTAATATGGTGTGGCAAGTAATTTTTATTTATTTATTTTTTTTACCTACCCGTATGTAATTTATAACTTCTGTATGGTTGTGTGTGGGTGCGTGCGAGCGTGTGTGAAATAATTTAATAATTTTAGGCGAGTGAACACGTACCACTTCTTCTTGGCAAAACCTTCCATATTGTATACATTCTGTACATTTTAAACATTATCTAAGGTTTTGTTTGCTCTCCTGATTTCATAATCAGTTTTTCTTTATTTTTTTACCAGTCATTTTATTGTTACGCTGATTATGTGGTCGAAATAAACTTATACTATACTTATAATGAGAAGTTGAGAACACCACAGACTGCGCAGGAATTTAGGAAAATTATCAAAACTTAAAATGACAGAATGAGGTTTAACATGGACAAAAAGGTACTGTACTAGGCCTACATGGGCGATACCTCATTACCATACCATATTATACAGGTATCGCCTTGCAGCCTTGTAAGTTGTAACATAGAATTCAATTATTTATACCGTTTATGAGTAAATCTGTGAGCCAGCATGCCCTATGCTATAATGGACCTAAGCTATGGAACTCTCTCCCCTTGAATTTGAAGTCATTAAAATCCAAAAAATCATTTCAGAAACAAGTTAAGTCGTACTTGGTATCCAAATATTAAAAGTTATTTTCCCATAACCACACTGATATATATACTCTTTCGTATGTAATTAGCTACAACGTTTTGATAGCTCGGACACAAAAAATATTGAACCTTCATGAATGACCATGATAGAAAGTTGGGACACTCTTCACTTGCACATACTTATTTTCATGAAAATATCAAACAGCTACAATATTGCTATTGCTCCTGCAGCTGCTGATTGTTGTTGAGCCGGCAGTTAATCTCTCTCCACCTGTTCTACATCTAATGTTGGTGTGTCGGGTTCTGTAGCATGCACAGCAAATTATTTTATTTATTTATTTTTCAAATGGCTGTTTACACTCTGACATCTGCATGCGCATGTTCCCTTTTTTGCTTAACGTTGGATTTTTGACATTACACATGCATGGTCTTTGTTTCTATATGGGTGGTGTGATACCTTATGAGGGTTGTAGACCGTATAGTTTAGCTCCTGTACCTATTATTGTAATTAGGCGACCAGTGGAGATATATTGGATTCTCCCCTTCATTTTAATTTGTTGTGGTATTCTATGATTTGTTTTGTGTGTATACAAAATTTTATCCTAGGTTGAGGTTCTGCTGTGAAGTTGATGTGAAGGCCAACATACGAATGGTCAGTGTGGTTTGAGAGTTTCTGCATGGTTTGCGAGGAATTCACCCTGTGTCCCAACCATATTTCAACTCTGGTCTTTGAACTAGCGTTTTATAGATAGATAACTAATAATCAATATCTACTCGAAATAATAATTAATTCTAAACAAAAGTGTAGGGTAGTGCTGTTTCCAAATATGTAACCCTTGAATATCCTACTCGCAGATTTATTTTCTGTTTTTCAGGTCTTTCTGTGATGATCAATACAATGGCTAGTTTATTGAATATAAATGGTGTCTACAACAACAAAATTCGCAGGCTGATGTCTCATCCACGATAAACTTGAATTGACATCTATTACGCCACAATAATTAAATGAAGAAATGATCCTGTGAAATAACAATACTAATTCCTTTATTCCTAATTCCTTTATCCTTGCAGAAGTCAATATCTAAGAATGAAAAAAAAAACCTTATAACCTTAGCAACCAACATATTGCTATACCCTGTCTTTCTACCTTAATTAATTATAATTACTCATACTTATAAAGTTACTGATAGATTTAAATACTTATTGCAATCTGGACTATAATTTGGCAATAATAGGCTCTAGTCTGGGCAATGAAGTGGTCTAGCCCACCTCTTCATGCACCCAATTCTGGCAACTTTGGTTGGGCATTTTGGCATTTGACTCCATCTATAATCAGCTTGACAATATATTTTTTTATAAAAGTTTATCTTTACTGTTCACTCCCATTTATAAAATTGATCAATTTGGCAGTGGCAATCGTGATAAATTTATTAATATGGTGTGGCAAGTAATTTTTATTTAATTATTTTTTATTAACTACCAGTATGTAATTTTTCATGTTCCCTTTACTTAATAACTTCTATATGGTTGTGTGTGTGGGTGCGTGTGAGCGTGTGTGAAATATTTCAATTATTTTAGGTGAGTGAACACGTACCACATCTTCTTGGCAAAACCTTCCATCTTATATACATTCTGTACGTTTTAAACCTTATCTAAGGTTTTGTTCGCTCTCCTGATTTCACAATCAGTTTTTATTTATTTATTTTTAGCATTCAGTTTATTGTTTTGCTGATTATGGAGTCGAAATAAACTTATACTTATACAGTCCAAGTCCAGAAGTCACGATACCGTACCGTACCAACTACCATCTACAACTGCTCTTAAAAGAGGCCATGGTCAGTACGGTAACGCAGTAACGTACCAAAATTATCGACATATTTAAACTAGACTATAATACTCCCAATGATTCAGTTAGAAGCCATAACGCTGCCCACTCCCTTTACGCTACCTAAAAAAATAGGAATTGACTGACACCGGGTAAAGAGAACTTTATGTAAATATATAGAATGGCATTCCATACCTATCATTTATTATTTGGCAACAATCATTTGTTTTCATAGATCGCTGTTGGCAATTTTAAAGTAATTAGAAAAATGATACTAAAATATATTTATTCTCAAATAGTTTTGTTTGGAATTGTTGAAACTCTCTTTTTATTTTGCTCTCCTGCATGCTTTTTGTCTTTACTGATGAACAGTAAATGGTTTATCTTTGTGATTTACGTTTTTCGTAGGACCTCTTGTGGTAGTTTCATGTCACGTGCCTATGATTGGTGACGTCTATTCTGAAAATAAATTCACGTGCCCTGTGACGCATCCTATGAGTGTATAACTCTAGGTTATAAACTGGGGAGTGTTTGCTGAAATTCCCCGAATGGAAAGTACTGCCTGGGGCCTAAATAGCTAAATTAAGAAGACACACAAAGTCTATGCATTTGAAACGAATAATTGGTTGATTATTCAACCGTTTATTTGTCATTACAAAAACAATTTCAAATAGAACTGATACAATGAATAAATATATAGTACTAATTATGTTATTCGTGTGACCGGAGTCGTGAGGAACCTAGGGGGAGGTCTTCAAGCCGCGACACCTACAGCGCTGTTACAGGTTAGAATAAAAAGTTAAAGCTATGTAAACCATATCCGACATGGACTGGTAGCCGGGCGGGAGGCCGTGGTTGGCCATATAATAACGCCGTCTTTTAGGCTTCCCTCTCCCCCGGGATGAATTTGTAAATCCTATCATATCATTTCTATAATCCCACATGGATATGGAACGGTTGTATCCAGTGGCGGGATTCAAATTTTTTGTCAGCCGGTTCTATCACAAAGTCATATTTTTCAGCCGGTTCTGTGACAAAAAGTCATGTTTTTTTAGTAAATAAACCAGTAATGTTAACCGGTTCGCTGATCTCATAAAATTCCGTGAGACGATTCTATAGAACCGGTGCGAACCTGCTGAATCCCACTGCTGGATGTATCCCGCTGGGGGTGATAGATATTCTTTTATTAGCGATAAAGGTACATATAAAATGTGTTATGCAATTGATGGACCACTCACATGTCTATATATGCCATTCCCTTGATATTCAAATACAATTATCTATAAGTTAAGAATTAAAGTGTGGTGAAACATATCCAAATTGATGTGGCGGGGAGGGTTGTTAGGAAGGTGTTCACCCACATACGGATGAATGTCATTGCTTGGAGGCCTCGACATAAGTATTATTCATTTTCAAAGTCGTTTTTTGATTTTTTAGGATAGTTTCAGAAAAAACCCTTTAGAAATGTTATAAAACTGATATTTGATCCATTTTTAATCAAGTGGGATAAAGTTTGTCCCAAATATTTTCCGTTGAGAAGGTTCATAAATTGAACGATCAAATGAATTTGTCTAAATTTGGAAAACTTTGTCACTCAACATCGTAAAACAAATATTCCAAATTAAACAGTTTTTACCTCAAAATGCCTAAATATTGTTTTTAAACATCGATATCTAAGGAACATAAAATGTTAAAATTATTATAATTTCACCCGATTATTTCAAAATATTGCATGTTAATTACATTTATCAGTAACTGGGCCACGAAAACCTACTTTGCTGCTACCATGGCGTTTTATTGCGGTATTTGGTTTTCTGTATTTACATTTTTTATTTCAAACATTTTAAATACCTATTTATGCCACCATAATACATTCCATAAAATAACGAGCCAACTATGGCATAGCCTAGGACCGCCCATTGTCTAAATCCGGCCCCGGTGACAAGTGCCGTTTTAAGTATTTTGTGGCTTCTGAAGCTGCCGCAAAATCATGGCGGTATTTCCATAGGCAAGTAAAATTTTGCTGCCGTTACCACGGCAGGTCGGCCGTAAAGACAGGGCTGACCCTTATGGTGACTAATATTGGGTAAGTTGGAACGTTTTTCTTATGGATATACGGTAGTTTTGATGGATTTGGGGTTAGGGTTAGAGTTTAAGTAGATATATTTCCGCATAATCAATTAGAATCTGGCACATTAATTTGTGAATATACCGTTAATACTGATTACTGAATAGCGCTATAAAACCATGAGCCCCCCCCCCCCCCTCCCGCTGATGGCGCTCGTGTACCTCTTCGTATGGTGGTTCAGTAACCGCTAGTCGGCTAAGGTATCCTCCATCATAAAGTCCATGCATCTGGAACTAAAGGCTGGCACATCCCATACCCCACATAGACTATAACCGGGCGAAAAGCTGTGGTTCGCCATACGATCAAGCAGTTTTATCGGCTTTTCTTTCCCTCGGGATAAATATGAAAATCAAAAAAGGGTCAGTGATAAAAATCACGCCTAATCTGGCTAAACTGCTAATAACGTGAACAATTACGCCCATTAAAAATAATAATAAAATATAAAATTTGTTCAAACTCCCTAATCAGTCAATGTTAATGAAGTGCTGGAACGGCGTCACAATCCTTCTCAGCTGGATTCAATTTTATCGCTGCAAAATACTTACAAAATTACCAATGTGGTTGAAAACAGTTTTATCTTTCTTTAGGAGGTACTCCTATCTGTGAAAAAATAAAAGCCATTGCTTTGGTAGTTTTTGTTACAAAATGACCATGTAAATCACGGTTACACTTTCGTGTCAAATAAAATTCTGAGTATGCCATTGTAAAATGAAAGCCAAACTAAAGACAACCATTGTTACATAATAAATATTTTGAAACGCATTTTGTGATATCATAATATTTCCGATAATCTGCAAACGAAAGGACGAGGAACGAGTTGACATTCAAATGTCAATAGCAGAGCAGGTGTCGCGCGAAAATTCTATATAAGGCTTTGTGATGTCACTTCAGTCGATTGTTAGGTAGACAAAGGAGATGTTTTGTTTATCGACCTGCTGTAAATATGCGAGAAATGCTATGTGTTTGAATAGTGTGTTTCATAAAATTTTTATCTTTTATTAATATGCGAATAAGGTTGTACATTTCATACGATTTCGTTCCAAACAAGGCTTCGCTCAAGCAGCCACTCACAATTAATGAGTTACTATAGTTTAAATTTAAAAGAACCAGAATCTTATTCACTCTGTGGGGAGTACCCGATATTTTATTATATTGTATTTTACTGTTAATTAACTGAGCGGTCCAGAAGTATGTGTACCAATATGAAGGTAACTAATTTTGTTCGCCCACTTTACATCAAGTTGTGTGAGGGAACGGAAGCTTATGGAAAGAGGGAAATTCACTTGGCTAACACAGATAGTCCCCGGACCCGGTATAAAACTAAAATATGGAAAATCGAAATGAAATTATGGCTTTACCCTAACCTGGTTTACTACGGGAGTACCATTAACTGAGTACAAAATCGGATTATAGTAACAAGACAATAATTTATAATAGTTAAATTAAAAAATGTATAAGCCTACTTAGAATTGGCGTGGAAGTGCATTTGCGGAGTTATATGCAGTAAATATGATATTTCGAATAATACAGTGTATATTTGATTCGTTAAATTTTGTTTGAATATTGCAGAACAAAAATGGCCATACGTGTATTAGATTGATGAGACATGGGCCATGTATTACCCGACCTCTTCAAAATTTTGCTTGTAAATTTTTATGACGTGCTGGTCGAAAGTTGAAACGGAGGTCATGAAATATTACTAGCAGCGCAGGGGCTGAAAAAGGGGTTAGACCAGATGTTCCCAAACTAGGGGTCGCGACCCCAAATTGGGTCGGAGTGATAAGTAGGTAGGGTCGCAAACAGTTCATGGGGTCGCTGGGGTATGGTAGAGGGTGGATGTACAAAACATCTAAGATTTGACAAACCGTGTTAAATTCAGCAGTTTGTACCATGGCTTAATGTAAAACAGGCCCATAGGCATCGCTCTATGCTTATGCTATGGAAAATGTAGGTGCTTAGTGTAACATCACTGTTCGGTTTTAGTTTAAAAAATAAATGAAAAATTTAATGCGATGTTCTGAGAAACCACCTTATCAAAAATTTTGAAAGATAAATAACACATCGTTCTCTAGCTCAGGGATACTCAACTATTTTTACCGAAGATCCGAATACGAAACTTCAAAAATATTTGCACTTCCTCGGCCGACTAATGATTATTAGCTAATTAAAATTGTTTGTTATGGCGTTATAGTTCTTTCCATATATATTCAAAACTATAAAAGTGATTTTATAAAAAGAAACCTCAAATGTGGGGCTAATGATCCAAAATAAAGAATTATGCGCGGTCCGAATCGAATACCCGAAAGGGGCGTATTCGGACCGCGGTCCGCCAATTGAGTAGCCCTGGTCTAGCTGATTATTTAGTTATCTTTCCGTTTTACGCATACGGAACAGTGTTTTAACAAGGGTTTCCTTTTAACGGATGAATCACAGTAAATAAATATCTTTATTGTCTATAGGCTCCCGCATAGAACATGTGCGCGCGATACTCTGGTTGCTATTGAACTTACAAGGTTGAAATCGCAGCTTGGAAATCCTGAGCATAAGCCCATGCCAAATAACTCATTCAAAGTGGAATAAATCGGGTTAGAAATGCCGAAACAAAAATTTGTGGTCATCTACGCGTTAGGCCCAAACCATTCTAAATGAAACTCATTGTCGGATAAGAATGGAAACCCACGTAGAGTTCAATTTCCATGTAATAAATGAACATCGTTTGTATCATCGTTACTAAAAGAGTTGCACGCGACATTGTACAAGCTAAGAGTTACGCATAGTGCTTATCCCTGCAACAATATAAAGCTGTAGGCAAGTTTGAAGACTTGAAACAATTCAAAGGAAACACCACAAGGTTTAAGTTATCAGGGAGAAGATGTTAGTTTTATGCAAAGTTCAAACAAAGCAATGTCCAGTTGGTAGAATAAACTTTAATAAACGAGTTGTAAGACACGATTTTCGCACTAGGTCCAACCCTCTACAGACCCCCCTAAACAAAATTCCGTGGGCGGATAAAAATAAAAACCCACGAGTTCAAATTCCAGATAATAAATGTCACGCCGCATTTTATTTATATGAAAAGGTATGAATATTATTTACTTAAAATCGATTTTTTTTTGTATGAAATATATTTATTTTAGCATAAAGCAAATTTTTAGCGCTGAATTAAATTGATTTGCGTGAAAAAAATACGGAAACCAGATGTCTGGAAACGTCAATGAGCATTATGAAGGCGACGAAACCTGTTCTGGACGCATTTGGGACGTCAGCTTTGTGACAGAACAATCTGGTCGTTCATTATTTGACACCGACCTTGCTTCTGACTTCACCATTGCTAAAATGTCTGGTTGTGACATAACAAATGAAATCAGTAAACCGTCTGAAACAGCTGACAATCAATTGTTAGAAGATTGTGACGGAATAATTGTTCGTGCTAATTGGACGGAGAACTTGCAGACAAAAAATGACGGTGGGTTAATCAGTAATAAATAATTAAATCGAATACCTGATAAATAAGCCGTTTTCTATGGTTAACGGCAAAGTTAGCTGTTATATCAATTTGCCACTGTATTTCAGTTTGTATTTAAAAGTACATATAAGTGTTTGCTAAGTGCACTTTATTGCTCGCTCTTTTCTGAGTTTTTAGTAAGTCAAGCCCAACATTTCACCCAAGGTGTATCAGTGTAGGTACAAGTCCCTTAATTCCAAGACATATCACCATCCTATTCAATCATCAATCAATTTATTTCGGTTCTCTGACATAACCAACGCAAAAAGTGAACAGACAAACAAAATGCAGAGATACCTGGAAGGCTAGCTTGAAGGCTTGAACTTGAAATACAGTTAAAAACGTACAAGTACGTGCTCACCCACCAAAAAAAAAAATCAAACTAACACAGAAAAGAGTGGATGCGATTCAGATTCGAGCAATACTTTTAACGCAAATAAAATACAAAAATAGCAAAATTTAGGTGGGGAATTGAATGTAATAAATTTCTAACAACTTCTCCCGTCTCCGATTTCTGAAAATTTAACGATTCACATGTTTGTCTCCAATAATGGTTTATTGGGAAATCACTAGAATTAGACCCTATTGTCGAGTCCGAATCAACGTTCCTCCTAAGAGCTTGCTTAGTTGTGCGGGATAGAAGGCCATGTGAGCTTCAAAAAAAGGTCTGCGTGAAATAGAAAAAAACACAACATTTTAATACTTATGCATTGCGCGGCAGAAGGAAAGTACTACGCGGGCATGCGCGGTCGCGCAGCTTAGAGGGAACGTTGGTCCGAATTCCTGTAAAATAGCATAACATTTTTAGCATATAACTTTTTCAGGAACTGTACAATCCCGTGACAGCATCACAAACCGACGATTAAGCGACGAAATGAGTGTTCGAAGATCCAGCTCCAGCTACGGACTAGTACTGGTGAGTTCGACACTTTGTTTATTGGATCATGGTCGTAACCGAAAATGTTCAAAAGGGGGGGGGGGGGGGGGGGGGGGGGAGGTTAAAATTTCTAATTGCCAAGTTAGACCTAACATCTAGCGCAGTGGTTCTCAACCTTTTTTTTGTGGCCCGTTTTTTTTGCACATAAACTCTTGTGGCTCATTACCTTTTTATTGCAAGAGAGAAACTACAAGAAAAAGCAAGTTGTTTGAGCGAAAATGGACACCTAAGCGTTTATGTTTAGATTGGAAATTGTCACTCCGTAGCAGAAAACATCATTGTCATTGATTACTGCTACAATCAAAACTAACTATCGTGATATAAATAAAACTAGCAATTTTTAATATTTCTGTGGCCAACCTCAAAATCGTTCCATGAGAAAGAGAACAAGTGATCTGGAGCAGCGTTTCCCAAATTTTTTTGGCCACGAAACACTTAGACTTTTTATCTCTCCCCGCGGAACACCAAAAAATGGAAAACACCTAAAAGTGTAAAATTGATAAAGAAAATTGATGTAATGCGCGAAAACTAGCAGATTGTTAACTAAAATATGTAATATATTGCATTTACCATAAATGTTTTGTTTCTTTTTTTAAATGCTGTGTTTATGAATCGATAAATTCATTTTATATTTCTATGTCGTTTACTTTCTATTACGTACTGTTTGCCTTCAATGTTACGTAACAGTGGAGATAAAAGTAGGTTGCTGCAATTTCACGAAGTGCAGTGTATTTATCTGCTGAATCGAGTTTGGCGAACATAAGTTATTTTGAAGCAAGCAGTTATTTAACATGAGCATTCCAAATCAAAACCCGGCAAAGATGAAGAAGGAAGATATGACCCTTTTGCATTTATTCTTTAGGCCTACATGTTTGCTTTTGTCAAAACCAAAAACGCTGTAAACTTGATATTGAAATTGACAGTCAAAAAGCTGGGCCGAAACGAAAATGCCACTACCCTGGAAAAGTTAGACCGACTGTGACGCGATATTGAACGGTCGCCAGTTGGGCGACAACTTCAGGATCCTGTGATCGCTATGACCAATTTAGTCGTAATTTTGATCTCTTTTCCGCGAAACACTCGGAAGACGCTCGTGGATCACTATTGTACCGCGGAACACAGTTTGGGAAACGTTCATCCAGCGGGTCAGTCGTGGAATCACGGGTTTTCAGGAGTCTTGGGGTCAAAGCGTTTTAAGCTACGAAAAATTGTAATGTATGATACCTCCTTCTCCCTTGCTACACTTCTGGTATGGATCGTTTTGCTAAACTGTTGGGCGACTTTTTTAATGTGGAAAAATTGCGGATCCTTTAAACGCTTAAAATACTGCAATCATCCAGTTCTGAATGCAGATTTCGCTGGAACTTGATTATTACCAATTTGTTATTTAATAAAGTAACCGGTGTGTTTTTCTCAAATCTTACATTATTGCATTCGTGGCAGGGGCTTTGTACAAAAGATCAAAAATTGCTAAAATTTTGGCTGTTTTATTTTAATTCACGTGAACACTATTTTTTGATTCCTCCAAGCGTGACCGCTCATGTCACGTCTGTACTTGGTTTTGATTACGTACCCAAGTGCTCAGCCACATTTACGTGTGAGTCGCTTAAAATAACCGGTTTATTATAAAATACCTATACCACGTACATTATTGGATTCTCTGTCCGTATATTGAAGCATTACTCTCTTGTTATTTATTGCGTTCTTCTCCGAAAAATTTCCGGTAAACACCGATGGAGTAAAAAGCTAAAGTCTGCATCTCTGAACTAATCGGGAAACGAGACATTTTCTGTGTATATACAGTATCGAATATTCGGTGCGCTAGAGGGCGCCAAAGGACCGTCACTCACGAAGCCGTCGACCACTTCGCGATATGGCGAAGTAATCAAATCTGAAACTATACGGTAATTCGTAACCTCGCGACAGGAAAGTCGATAAGACGACTTAAGAATATCGCCAACCAACTAGCACCTCTCATGGGTTTACCAGTCCACGTCGGACATATTTTTTATACGTCGTCGTTTTATACCCTGTTCACTCTAAACAAGGCACTGAACAAGCAGCAACTACAGTAGTGAAGCAAAAGCATAGCCAGCCCCAAATTTTCTCTCAGTCCCTCCCCCTAGCTCCTCTTAGGATTCAGTATCCATTATTTCGTAGTGGGATGGCCTGATCTATATGTTCCACATGTTTTTAACGATTTTTAAAATCTGATCTGATCTTCAGTCAGAGATCGGTATCCTTTTATTTCGGAGTGAAAACGCGTGAATTTTTTGTAATCGAATTTTCTTAAAAAACTAATTATTGGGACCTGGACTGGTAATTAGATCAGAGGCCACATTTGAAAATTAATCGAATCGTCTTATCGGCTTTTGTTTTCCGGTATATATTTAATTTCCTCGTTATTTACCAGGTTCAAAGGACAAGTCGAGAGAAATGGTCCCGGAAGATTGATTTTCTTCTCAGTGTCGTTGGATTCGCCGTCGACCTCGGAAATGTTTGGAGGTTTCCATATATCTGCTACAAGAATGGTGGAGGTAAATGTTTTCTCATAATGCCGAAAACAAGTTTTTATTGCTAGGGATAGTTCATAAACAAAGTTATTGGCTTTATAGCTAACAGACTGCAATTCACTGAAACTTCAGAAGTGCACAAAATATAGAGCAACAATAACTATGACTCAGTTAATGGTATGCCAGGTATGACACAACAAATAACTTACCGTTGCCAGAATTAAGAAATAACAAATTACTTAAATAAATCAATATGGATATATATATATAATTTGCCACAATGTGTAGAACGATCCTTTTTCTGGTATTGGTAACAAGAGTAAATATTATATAGCTTTCTATCGTTAGATTTTTCATGATGTAGTTCGCTATAATTGACAATCATCTTTTTTTATTGCTGCAAAATATTCAATAAGCTGACTTTAAAAAGTGGGCGACGTACTTGGGAACAGTCGTCATTTATTCGGACATTATAAAAATTCAGAAGCAGTCCTCATATGGTAAATTCAAGGTCAAATTTCAATTGAGAGATATCTGAGAAGATAATCAACGCTAGTCATCAGTACTTTACTTATCACAGTAGTTTTGTAGTTTACGTAACGAGATCTCGCACTTCAAGCAGCTGTCCTTAAAAAGTACCGACTACTAATTTATGTGTAGTATACGGTAGTCTTCTGGGAATTGATTTCGACCACTGTAGCTAAATTAAATCTCTATCGTAAAAACATCTGATATATATAGCCGATCAATATTCAAAACATAAAAACGTAATTTATAGCTTACAAAGGAAATGTCAAAACTACAAAAATCGCTGCAATGTTTACAACCATGCACGAAAGTCTACCTGGGCGAAAGCGCTAGATTAAATTACATCTATTACGTCACGGTTGATGGCTGATTAGTTAGGTCTTGTTGAGTAAACAAAAAATAAAGTCTCGAAGAAGCCTTAGTAGCTAGATTTATAGCGGTGGTTCCCAGACTTTTTGATATCGTTATTCGTTACACCAAAATTTAATTACCAGAAGCTCAATTATATACCCATTTAATAGAATACAGTATAGTCATAGAGTTATCACCTTTTCTTTGACCAAAAATGGCGATAATACTAACAACTATTGCATATTCTGAACCGACTTTACGATGTTAAACTTGCGCTGGCTCAGCCTACAATCTGTACGGTGAGGTATTGATATTATGTCTCTACGAACGAATGACAATATGACTAGGCTAATTGACTATATTTAGTATATGTCCAAATTTTATTATCATGTTTATATGTATTATATTCCATGTTGTATTGTCTCTATTTATTGATGTTTTCTTTTCCTACCAACTCCTCTGTACAAACAGTTGGGCATACTCCACCCTTACCCATGCTGCCTATATTGCTAGCCACCCACCCTCCTTGCACAACTGTCTGTATGAAGGACCATATTATACTTATTTGATTTATTGCATTTTATGCTTATCATAAGGGGTGTCTGCCGCTCTTTCATGTGTTTTAGGCCAGTATGGTCTTGTGTATACATCCCGTCTTCAATGTTGATATTTACTAACTCCTGTGTTTTTGCTTTTACGAGACGAATAAACATACCACAAAATTTTCATTGACGAATTTATAATGGTATTGCAGTGTTTGAAAAAGTAATTCGAGTTGGTCAGATGATTCAGACCTCAATGGTTGAAATTGATTATTCCTCTTTCTCACGTAGCATCTAACACCTATTTATAAATCTTCGTAAGGACGAGAATTATTTCCAAAAAATTTCACGTAAAATGAACATTACTTATTCTTCAATTACTAGTAAATACTGACTTTACCTTATTCAGATGACATGGAACACTAGTTACTAGTAATATAATATTTTAGTTTCATATTAATGGGGCGCGAAAGTCTTAAGTGCTTAGGGCCATTGAAAGCCATGATCCGGTCGTGGTTGTATTCAGTGGTGGGATTCAAATTTTTTGTCAGCCGGTTCCATCAGACAAATGTCATATTTTTCAGCCGGTTCTGTTACAAAAAGTCATGTTTTTTTTCAGCTAACCGGTTCGCTGATCTCTTAAAATTTCGTGAGACGATTCTATAGAACCGGGGCGAACCGGCTGAATCCCACTACTGGTTGTATCCCGATAAACCGCTTGACATGTGATGGTGTTTTGAGTATTGGAAAAAAAATGTTGGTTCGACGCGTTCTTTGGTAGATCTCTCTTTATTGAAACGACCTCTGTAAAGTGCTATTGAGCTATTGTATAGACACCAGATTAGGAATGGGTTATGCGGCCCCAATTGCCATTTGAATGGCCTCCGCCGTAGAGGGCTATGGATGTTTCCTCGAGCATTGACTTCCTTGTTTATTTTCGTAACAATGACCAATCAGCAGTAAGACAACAATGACGTGACAATTGAAATTTATTCAGCCACTCAGTCAGGTGTTCAAGTAAGGGTGAAAACATTGCCCGTTTTTGCAGTTTTGCGTGTTATTTGCCAGTTTCCGGTTGTGTTTTCAGAAATTAGTTTTAAATCGAGAAATTTATTTGACAGCATGTCAAAGAAGCTTTAGTTTAGTCGTAATATTCAAAAATTAGTCCTGGAAGTTGCGGTAGGCTATACGAAAAGTAAATATCAGTACATTTCAGCGGCACGTAGATGAATATTTTTATATATAAAAATAATGATGGTTTTGGCCATTTAAACTTGCTTTTTAACGCCCACTCTTAAACTCTCAAAAAGGGGCAAAATTTGCAATAGTAAAGTACAGGGAGAAGTTTTTTGGGGACAAGGCTCGGGAAACGTCCTTTGGGCTGCCTCGTAGACCGAATGTATGAATGGATTTATGATCACGAGCGTAATTCCAATCGCTTCATCCTTAGATAGCTAACGGGCCATATAGATATTAGACAGCATGTTAGGAATAAGGATAGATATATGGCTAAACTAAAAAAATTCAAGTTCTACCAAAAGTCGTATCAAGTCACATATCAGTAAGTACCCGAACGGAGAACGGGGCCGCGTTCGAAAAGGGTCGTGAAAAAACGTAGTATAAACTATAAAAAAAATGTGAAAATTTGTATGATAACTCGCAAAATATTCTTTAAAGAAGGAGTTGATGACATACTCCAGCGGTTTCAAAGAGGGCGACCGTTTGCTAAGTGCGCCGCGAAAATCAACAGAATTGTGCTGAACATAACTGCAATATGATTGCATTTTTTACATATATATATGTATATTGTATTAATTATAAATGTTTTCAATAAATTCATTGCCTTTGTTCCTTAGGCCTACATTTTGTAAACTTCAAAAAGAAAATAGTACACAGTGACGATCACAAAATTGAGTTTTATAAAGGAAGCCATTTATTTCGTGTAAGGGCGCGGTTAAGTTTTCGTTGATAATTTGGCGCCTTATGCACAAACAGTTTGGGAACCGCTGGCGTACTCCATGTCGATCTACAAGTAAGTTATAATTTTAGACTTGCGTGAAACCACATTTTCCGGCCTCTGACCGACCCCGCTATATGTTATGGTCTGACTCGGCAATTACAAAATTTCACACCCTCCTTAAAATTTTCTGGTCACGCCACCGAGTGGCGGTTTGAGTTCTGGTTGAATAATGTTGGTTTTGCCTCATTCGTAGAGGGTTGTTGGCTTTATAAAATAAAAGTATAAGACTTTATACTGAAATACCTCGCAAAACATTCCTAAAAAGGGAGTTGATGACATACTCCATACCAATCTATGAGTAAGGTATAATTTTAGCTTTGTGTGCGTGTGAGGAAGGAATAGCTGACTAATTAACGAGTCTTTGTGATGAAAACATGTCAGCAGTTTTAACAAAAAATAACAACAAAACGGTCCATTGTAACAAGGAAAATTATCGGCAAAAAACAGAATATTGTCATGTCGGTAACTAGCCCACTGCTAGGACATAGAAACAATTTAAGGTTGTCATCAAACCTATTTAAAATTACTATAGTTGGTGATAAATTTAGTTTTCTTTGTGTCATTACAGTTGAACTTTGATTGTAATGACAATGATGCTGTTTCAGCTACTAAATAGTGATTTTTATTCTAATTATTAGAGTGACAGGGTCTATTGTTGCGTAAGAATTCTGTGTTTTTCTTGTATTTTTTAACTCGGACGAAAAAGATAATGGGCGTATGACTTTTGTGCAGCTAAAATAGCCCACGAAAGAAAAAAGGTTGAGATTCACTGATCTTTTCAAAATAATTAACATGTGGTGGGGTTTGAATTTTGGTTGAATAATGTTAGTTTGGCTAGTACAGTGGTTCTAAATCTTTTTTCGGTCTCCTGAAGTATGCACACAACGATGTCGCACAACCTGACCCCCAACCTGGTACACAACCTGAGTTCAGGTTGTGCACCATCTTGGTGCGCATACTTCAGGAGGTCCCTTTTTTTATTACATAGTCGGTGGAAGATTGTAATCAACGAATGGCCTCATCTATAGAGAGTTATCGGGCTTTATAAAAATGTGAGACTTTATACTGAAATACCTGTCGAAACATTCCTAAGAGGGTACCAATCTATGAGTAAGTTATAATTTTAGCGTCATGTGCGTGTGAGGAAGGAATAGCTGACTAATTAACGAGTCTTTGTGATGAAAACATGTCAGCAGTTTTGACAAAAAATAACAACGAAACGATCTATGGTGAGCTGGGTTGATACTGTAAATTTGTTTACGTAGGACCTAACATGAGGCGAAAATGTTTAGTTTGTCCAGGTACGGCCATGGCTACAATAGGGATTGTTGGTATGTTTGGGATTGGTTATGGATAATGGGATCTTATAGCATTTCCATATGCACGGCCAGGGATAACAAAAATTACGTTCTTAAATGATAACACAGCGATAAATGAAACTTGATATTCTATATACACATAATGACAAAAAGTAGTAGTTTTTCGTCGCGGATCAAAGTACGATTTATCTCGGGTCAGTATCGTATTGACACATTATGTCCGATTCATAACGGTACCACGCTTCATAAACATGTTGCAGCATAATCTATCATACCTACATCTTGGAGTTCTATGTATCTCATAGCTGCTACCCCTGAAGCTTCTATTTCATCATTTCCGTTGGGTAATTTGATGGTATTGCATACGAAAGGAAGTTCGTTTATATACTTCAATCACACATCGCCAAAATTAAAAACGAAACTTGTGAGCCTACACGGCCAGATAGCTAGCTGATCTATTTACGCACGGCCGAAGATAAAAACAAACCCTGTTAAGAGATAAAACAAAAATATGCGCTACGTTATTTCACAGGGTGTTTTCACTTTTGAGCATGAATTGTTTGAACATATTGGGATTTGGAATTTACCAATCAAAATTCCAATGGAATGAGTTCTTAGCCCCAAAAAAGGGGTCGCGATCCATGAAAGGTTGGAAACCACTGTTTTAATTGCTATTTTACCGAAGCCGTTGTTTTGAAAAATATTTTTAATCAACTACATTCTTCGTACTAAATGCATCCTCTACTAAATCTGGGCGCGTCCTTTCTATTAACATTAGACCCTTACATAAAAAGTAGCTCCTCACGCATTGGTGGCTTCTAATCCATAGCCTTGTATGAAGTGAACACACCAAATTTTATTACTCATTTATTTTCAAACATATTTCCATTAAGTGCATATTTCTTGCTAATCTTTTTTTAATAGTGGGCGCGTCCTTATTTGCATTAGAATTGCATTAGGCTTTTTCCAAAAATAATTGCTCCCCAATTATTAGTGAGTATTTATACAGACCCATGTTCGGAATGAAGTTTTAAAAACTTGGTACAAAATGCCTATCCACAATATTAACCAAAATTTATTCTTAA